AATATTAAAAATGTTGCCTGTAACTTAAGGCAAACTAGAATAACTCGATAAAGGTTTACCACATTGCTAGTACTGGAGCAGTTCTGGAGAGCTTCACCAGAGACCCAGGCACCACTGCACTTGGCTCTGGACAAATAAAATGAAGTAGCATATGTTATCTTCTGCCTAGTCATGACTTTCCATAATTGTACAATTTAAAACCATCAAGTTGAATGTATTAAGTATCTGGCAGAGGAAATGAAGACTAGGGGGAGAAAAATCTGGGATAGAAATACTGAGGCAAAAAACCCCCAATGTATTGAAGGCACTCACATAAAAAATTAGAAGCTGTATTTGTGCGTGCCTTAAGTTATCTGTGAAATGCCTTGGAGACGGAACAATTCTGGGATACTGTAGAACAGTGTTTAGCAAAATGTTATCATCTTGACTTCTGGAAGGCTGTTATTCACAAGAAAGCTATAGCCTATTCTTTTGGCCAATTTTGTGAGACTGTTGGTTTTAGCCTTCAAGTCAACTCAGACCCACAAGCCAGCAAAGTCCTTAAGAATAAAAGCATTTTTAGTTCCAGTCAAGCCAATGATCTATTAAAGTTCTATAAAAAATGTTCTTTTATATACCTATGTGCATGTTACTAACAACTTCATACCTTCTGAAAACTCTGAAAGCCAAGCCCCTTGTCACTACATATGTCATGTGCTTACAGCACTTCTTTCCGACCACGTAGCAAAATGTGGTTTTATTCTATCATTTTGAAAGCTCTTCAATGAAAGTCAGAAGAACCCAATATAAAACCCAAACTACCTTTGCATTCACAACAGTCACTGAAAACAGAGCTGATTTAAGAAATGTTTTGCCAGAAACCAGATTGCTAATATCAAGAATAAAAACAAAACAAACAAAAAAATCAGCTTTATTTAACTGATCTTCACATCAATTGTTTCAATTCATCTCAGGAAGCAAGTGATGAAATAGTTCTTCCTTACCTACCACTTACGAACTTTTATTCTCACTTATTTCACATTACGTTAGTTAGGCAGTGCACTTGCATTTGTTTTAAAAGTCTGCCTTTCAGCATCAGAATGGAACTACCCTTCACTACCCTGACCAAAAAGAAACAACCTATTTCGTCTTCAGCTGCTACAGACTGCAATTTTAGAAGTACTGTATGAATATTTTACCAAGAGCTCCTGTTTAAGCAGTGAAGCATTGGAGGCCATCAGCAAAACTCCTACTCTGCATCTGTGCTCCTATGGTTCAAAACCAATGTGGGCAGTGCGATCTAATTAAGTTGGAAAGAAAAAGAAAAATCTCTAGAAAGCATAACCCTTGAGGACTACTGTGAACATCTTTCCAAGGGAAGAGGATCTTTAAGCGATACCATTTTTTGATATAATGATAAAGCATTCAAAACAAAATGTGCATTTGTGATTAG